ATGGGCTTTCTTTCTCTCTAAATTCCAATTGATTTCCACCACTGAGAAACACAGGGAGAAATTAGAGGGAGAGAAGGGTGTTGTGATGGAATTGCTGTCTGCCTCTCCTAACAACAGTTACCAATCCTGCCAGGTGGACCACACCGTAACCATTCTTTCTTTCTCCAGAGAGAGACATCAATGGCCAAACAATTGCCAGCTCTTTCAAGCCTAAGAGTGGTAACTTCTTATTGATTCTAGTCCCAGGGCACTGAAGTATCCCTTGTGGGGTTTATAACTGCTATGGATTCAATAATGTTTCCCCCAACCTCTGCAGTACAGTCGTATTTGGAAATGAGGACTTGGAGACATCATGTAGATAATGATGTTTAGATAATGTCCTAAGGGCTGGGGATGTGGTTCCAGCGGTAATGCACTCCACTGGCTTGCGCGGGGTGCTGGGTTCGATCCTCAGCACCACATAAAAATAAAAAAAGATGTTGTGTCCACCGAAAACTAAAAAATAAATATTAAAAAAAATTCTGTCTCTTTCTAAATAATGCCCTGAGTTCTGTCTTTCCCTGCCATATGCTGCCATAGACAAGACAAGTAAGAGGGCAGCCATCTGCATCAAGACCCTTGATGAGGGTCTTCATCAAGAACCAGACCATGCTGGCTCACTGACTTCCTGGCTCAAGGACTGTCACTTAAGGTCACAGATCTGTGGTACTTTGTTACAGCAGCCTGGGAAGAATAAGATATTAAACCTTTATATGTATTCGTAATAATACCTTTATGATATGCCTCTTTTTTTGAGAGAGAGAGAGAGAGAGAATTTTAATATTTATTTATTTTTTTTTTTACTTTTCGGCGGACACAACATCTTTGTTTGTATGTGGTGCTGAGGATTGAACCTAGGCGAGCGCGCTACCACTTGAGCCACATCCCCAGCCCCTATATACCTCTTTTAATATTTAATGCCTCTTCTAACTAAAATTATTCAACATAAATATGCCATCCCTTTTCTGCTGGTATCCTAATACAATATATGTGTTTTTAATTCTTTGTTGTTTCCACCTATCATTTCTCTCAAACTTGTAATTTCCCATACACATGAAAGTTTAATTGCAACATAGAACATTAGGATAAAATTTTGATGAAAAGAGTGAAATATTTACCACTTATATCTTATATAAAGCATTATAAAAAAAAAAAAGACACGATGTAGCATGATCAGAGAAGGGGACACATACTTAGGCAAACCTGGAGTTCCAGCCATCTCTGAAAATTGTGGCAGAATTACTTTGCCTAGTAACTTCTCTAATTTCTCTAATCGTTATATTTATTGGTTAAATAAGAATCACCATTTGCATCATAACCCACTTATAGGGTTGTCCCAAGACCTAGAAAAGAGAAAGCTACTACTATTTCTCTTACCAAAAAATCTTCTTTTGAATATTATTTTTTGTGATATTGCCATTTTGAAAAGTTTCTTGAAACTTGATCATATCCATGGGTGCTAGCTCACACAACCTTTAGTGTCCCTAGATTTTTACCCCAAGAAGAACTGATTAATCCTCCTCAATGGGACCCAAAGCACCAGCTAAGGCCAGGAAGCATCCTGCACTTAGCCTACAGAACATTCTCTTCATAGAAGGAGCTAATCATTGTTTTATTACCTCTAATGAAGTCCTCATACTAAATTCAGGACACTTGATATAATTTCTCCTAATTAATCAAATTTTATGCTTAGAGGAAGTTGTTTAACAAATTATCTGTTCTACTGGTACATTCTCTCTATATCCCTGTTCTTAACCTTCACCACACTAGACACAGGCAAGACCTACACAGGGACCTGAAAAGTTCTAATGAGCATTAAACCCCAATTTCAGCAACTAACACGAGATTTATTCATACACGACATCCCTTCATTTTTCTTCAACAGCACAGAATTTTTTTATATTTCAGTCAATAATAAATATCTTACAGGAGACTCAAGCCAGGCTTTGGAGTTTGGACATATTATGAGCTTTTGCAACAGGAAAAAGGATTTCTTGGTAGGCAAATCAAACCATGAAAGTTCAGAAAACCAACAATTGTTGTTATGCTAGCAGGAATTTTTGGCTTTTTAAATCCTATGCCCAAAAATGATTTCCAAGAATGGCTGCTTACACATGACCTTGAAAGGAACCCAATCAAGCCGTACTCCTAAGATAAAAGTGTTGAGCAAATGAATTATATGACCTTAATCAACTTCCTTATCCTCTCCATTTTAGATTCCTCATTAAATGGTGGAAATAGTAACACAAAAAGGAAAGGTTGCTGAGAGCATGCAGTGAAATGAGACATGCCAACTATGGCACCTAATAAATAGGAAAACACTTAGGAGTCATTGATGCTTTACTGTGATGATTTCTCATATCTATTCTAGCTGTAGGATATTATGTCCCACTGCCTTTTAGAAAATTTGACCTCTCCAATGATAGAAAGAGATTGATTCTTGTTATTATATTATGACTCTTATCTTAAAAATTTCCTCCAGGCATTTGGAAACCACAAAATTGACGATTTTCAATTTTCTTTAATTTCATGCTTATTATTTATTTATTGGTACCAGGGGATAAACCCAGGTGTGCTCAACCATTTAGCCACATCCCTAGCCCATATTATTTTGAGAGAAGGTCTCACTAAGTTTCTGAAATCCTCATTAATTTGCTGAGACTGACATCAACTTGGAATCCCCCTTCCATGAGCCTTTTTTTTTAATTGTAGACAGACAGGATGCCTTTATTTTATTTGTTTATTTTTATGTTGTGTTAAGGCTCAAACCCAGTGCCTCACACATGCTAGGCAAGAATGTGCCAGTGAGCTACAGTCCCAGCCTTTCCCTGAGCCTTCTGAGTTTCTAGGATTACCAGTGTGCACAACCACACCAGCTGGTTTTTAATTTTCAAGCTTAACCCACTGGGATACACCCATAAAGATCACTGGCTTATGAGATAGTTACATATCAATAAGCAAAATGACTTTTTTCTTACTTCTACTCTATCAGAGGTATACAATATTATAAAACAAGGGCAACTTTTATACTGCATTGCTTAGGGAACCCCAACAAACCAGGTTTTAAATATGTAACCTTAAATTTACTTTGAGGATTGGTTTTAACTACATAATATATAACAAAGAATTAAAGAGGAAAAAGTGAAGAAGGAAAATTCTAAATTTATATCTTAAGATTTTCTACTATTCAGATAGATATTCCTTTCATAACTCCAAAATAGGGAGGACATATATTCCTAAAGACCCTTGTCAGTTCATCTAAAAACACTTACGACTCAAGGCAAAGCGTTAAAGGGTATGCATGATAGATCATTGCTCATTGCTACTGGACAAACTGGTGAAAAGGAAAGCATATTCATGGTGTCAAACACTTCACAGTACAATTTTTTTCCCCAGTCAAGAACCAAAATGTAAGGAATTAAACACATGAAACTAGCCTTTTAAAGATTTGTATGTTTTGTTAACTTTCCTTGAAGATAGAAGTCTTAAAACAAAAATTATATTTTTGCTTCACAAATTATTAGCTTAAAAGAGTAAAAATTATCATACAAAAATACACTTCAACCAAATGTGATAGACTGATCAAGATATTCTACTTTTATATTGAAGTTGAAGGCAGGATAAAATTTGAGGTTTTCAATAGGATTAGATTTTTTTTTTTAGATAATGAGTTTTTTCCAGAATAAATATTTATAAGTTCCCAATATCATACCATGAAAAAATACTTCCTGCCTTACAACCATCCTCATCTGGAGTTACTAATCAGAGAATTAACAATGTGGTTGCCTGCCAAAGACTATGAAACTTACTTTTCTATGTATTGGCATGGAAGAACCAGAACTCTCTAATCCTGCTAGTGAAAATGTGAAATGATAAATTTTAGACAGTAGTTTTCAGTTTCTTAAATGTTAAACATATCCATACTATATGATTTAGTTATTCCAGTCTTGAAATATATTCAAGATAAACAGCATAGTCTATATAAAGACCTGCATACAAATATTCCCAGCAACATTATATGTAAAAGCAGAAAAAAATAGAAACAACCCAATGTCCATCAATAAGCAAATACACAAATTACAATATATCCACAAGATAAAATGCAGCCCAGTAAGTAAAGAATGGATTACTGCTACATAAGAGACCATGTAGGAATGCAGAATAAATATGTTGAAGAAAAGGAAACAGGTACAAAATAGTACATTCTGGGTAATTCCATTTTTATGAAATTCTAAAGACATGTATTTTGGGTGGGGTGAAAGAGGGGCAGAAAGGGTCTGAAAGGAAAGATTAGAGAAGGTCATAAAGAAAACTTGGGGGTGATGTATGTTTGCCTTGATGGTGGATAGAGTTCACACTGTATGCATGCTGAACATTATCAAGTTGTATACTTTAAATTCATAGAGTTTTGTAACAATGATACCTCAATTTAAAGTTTAAAAAGAAATGAAGCAATTCCTCTAAAATAAGATACTATAAATCATCACAACATTTGAAAATCCATTGGACCCTTCTTTATAAAAATACATAAAGGGCTAGGGCTATGACTCAGAGGTAGAGCACTTGCCTAGCATAGCACAAGGCCCTGGGTTCAATTTCCTACACCAAAAAAAGTAAATAAATAAAATGAAATGAAATAAAAAGATTAAAAATACATAAGAAATTGCAAGAAACATAAATGTGTATTATATAAATAAGATGTAATTAAGATTATTTTGTTAGGTATAACAATAGTATATTATAGAGAATTTTTTTCTCCTTAGAAGATACATACAAAATGATTTAAGATAAAGAGTTATGACTATTGTCATTTCATCAAATAAAAGAAAAACATTAAGAAATGGAATATGGCATAATGTTCACTGTTCATTTAGGTTGAGGCTATACAAATGTTCATTCAAATATTTTTTAATCATTTTGAATTTTTGAAATTGTTCATACTAAAAGAATATATACATTACCTTATTCTCTTTTTATTTTACTCATCTTCATTCTATAAAAAGAAAAAAAGAAATATTTTTAAACTATCCTACCGTGTAGCCAAAAATTATAGTAATGAAATATTCAATCATTTAATTGGGGGAAAAATTATTCTATGTGTGACTTGGATCCCTGCATTGATTACAGCCCAGACTGGTCATGAAGCAATCACTTAATTCATCTAAAAACAATAATAATCAGAGTAGCTGCGTCCATTGATATTATATTCTACAGTCTTCATGTGTACTTTAACTCTCTAATCTCTTTTAATGCAACTCTCTTAACAACTCTAATGATGTAGGTATTATCATCATCTGCTGTGGACTGAAGGCATACGTCCACCTAAAATTAATACACTGAAGCCTAAATCCCCAATATGATAACATTTGGAGGCAAGGCCTTTGGAAGGTGTTGAGGATGGAGGTTTCACAAATGGGGTTTGTAACCCTTGTAGATAAAGAATCCAGAGCACCCTGTGTTCTCTGCATATGGCTCACTCTCATTGTGAGGAGGCAATGAGAAGACAGACTTCTACAAACCAGGAGAAATGTCCTCACTAAACACAGTGTTTGCCAGCATCTTGGTCTTGAATTTCCCAACCTCCAGGTTAGAGAGAGATAACTGTCTGCTGTTTGAGTCATCCAGACAGTGGTATAATTTTATAGCAGGCCAAATAATTGAGAAAGCCTCTCTACTGTGCAGATGAGAAAACACAAAGGTTAACTAGCTTGCCCAGAGTTCCAAGACTAAGTGGGAGAGCAGAAAACCCACACCTGGGCATCCTGCCTGCAGAGCTTGTGCTCTCAAGTCTGAACTGATAAGGAATGACAAAGCAGAGACTAAAAGTAACTGGTGGATTCAATATTGGCTCCTTAGCCAATATTGCCATGTGTTTGAATTTTCTAGGAAAGGTTAGAGACTGAGACTTTAAGGTAAACTTTCCTAGTTTTCTGATTATTTATGTGGTTATATTGATAACTTGTTCCGTTTTTTAAAAAAAATAGTGTAAGAAGTAGACTGAATTTGGTCTATATGCTGCTAATTTACAATCCATGGCAAGGATTACAGTTCCTTGGCATTGCTGCATTCAGAAATACATTAAGAATTTCCAAGAAATTCTTTATTTTTAGACTCCATGACCCAAGCCAAAAGTTAAAATATCTGCCTCTATCCACAGGTTTCTGTCTGATGCTGATACTTCTATGACTAAAAGCACCTACCGTGCTAAAACACCACAGGGAGAGCAGGTTTTGTAGAATACACAAACAGTACACACACAATGCTGAACATTCCTCATCTCTCCACAGTTTCATCATATTTCTGTGTCAACTGCATAAAGACAGACACAGAACCCAGAATGCACAATGCCAGCAAGGGGATCCTTTGCTGACCTCTGTCCCTGCCTAAACCTACCTAGTCATCTTTCAAGAAAGAAAGAATAATACCCACATTCTCTACTCAGTGCCCCCAACAGACACCACAAATCAGGTAGACACCACACCTTCCTTGTGTTTTGCTACTGACCAACCTGCACAGGATCAGGGGTTTCTTAAAATCACACTGCACACATGGTCTTAGCTCAGCAGTCCAGTCACCAATACCATTTCCCTTTCTTCACCTCATCATTGTTCAACTCCTCACTGGTGGATTGTCACTTGGGACCAAAGGGAAAGGAAAAGGAGGAGTAAAGGAACAAAAGAAAACCTCTAATGTGGGCATATTACATCTAGTCCTTCATAAACTAACACTGAGGCCTCAGGCGGATGTGAGGAGTTAAGGCCAAGTCAGTTGCACTAATAGTAATTGTTCTAGTCAGTTTTTCCTCCATAACAGCTTTAGTAATTAAAATTCTCACCGAGTACACAAGGGTTTCCTGTTCTTTACATTCTCAAAAACACTGGTTATCTTCAGTTTTTGTTTGTTTGTTTGTTTATTATCATTCTTACTGAGACGAAGTGATACCTCATGGTTTGTATTTACCTTTCCCTGATGATTAGAGATGCTCAACATTTTTTCAGGTACCTGTCTTCCAGGTTATATATGTTCTTTTGAGAAATTCCTATTAGGACTGTTGCCTATTTTTGTAATAAGATATTTGTTCATTTGCTTTTGAATTTTGGAACTTCCTTATATATTCTGAATATCAACCGCTTGTCAGAATCATAATTATCAAATACTTCTCATGCAATCACTGTTGATTAATTCTTTTGTTGTGCTGTAGCTTTTTCGTTTGATATAATTCCATTTGTCTACTTCTGCTTTTATTTCTTGTGTTTTGGGAACACTGGTCAAAAAAAAAAAATCCTCACCCATTCTAATGTCCTTAAGCTTTTCCTCTATATGTTTTTTCAAGTAATTTCATAGTTTCAGGTCTTACATTCAAGTCTTCAATCCATTTTGAGTTATTTTTTGTAACCGGAGAGAGAGAGGAGCCTAGTTTCATTTGGCTACATCCAATTCTCCAAATAAATACCCTTTACTGGAAAGATTGTCCCTTCTCCAGTGCACATTCTTAGCACCTTTGTAGAAATTCAGTTCACTATAGTTGCACAAGTTAACTTCTAAGCTCTCTATTCTGTTCCATTGGTCTGTGTGTCAGTTTTTATTCAGTACTATGTTGTTTTAATATACTATAACTTTGTAATATATGTAGAAATCACCTGGTGTAATGCCTTCTGCATTATGCTTATTGTTCAATATGGTTTTGGCTATTTGAGGTTTTATATGATTCCAGATAAATTTTAGGATATTTTTTATAATTCTATGAAGAATGCCACTGACATTTTGCTAGGGATTGCATTGAATCTGTAGGACACTTTGGACAGTATGAACATTTTAACAATATTTATTCTTCTAATCCATGAGCATAGATTTCTTTCAACCTCTTTATGTCCTGTTCAATATCCAACCTTAACATTGTATAATTTTAACTATAAAGGTCTTGCACCTCTTTGTTTAAATTCATTCCTAGGTATTTTTTGAAGCTATTATATATGAGATTACTTTTTAAATTTCTGTTCAGATAGTTTGCTACTGGTATCTAACAATGCTACTGATCTTATATGCTGATTTTGCCTACTTCAATGTGGCTGAATTAATTTTTTCTAAGTTGAGGGGTTTTATATATATATCAGGTCATCTGCAAACAGTGACCATTTGATTTCGTTTCAATCTGGATGTCTTTCATTTCTTTATCTTGCCTGATTGTTATGGCTAGAATTTTCAGAACTCTATTAATAAATGCGGTGAAGTGGGCATCCTTTTCTTGGACTAGAACTTAGAAAGACCCCTGTTGTTGTTTGTTTATCTGTTGGTTGTTTATGTGTTTTGTAAATGACCTTTATTATGTTGAGGTACTCTCCTTCTATACTTAATTGTTTAGGATTTGTATCACAAAGTAATGTCAAATTTTATCAAGTGCCTTTTCTGCAACTATTGAGATAACCATATAGTTTTTGTCCTTATTCTGTAGAAGTGGTATATTGTGCCTATTGACTTGCATGTATAGAAAAAATTCTTTCATCCCTGGAGTGAACCCACTTGATAATTGTGAATACATTTTTATCATGCCATGGGATTTCATCTGCTAGTAGTTTTTTGAAAATTTTTGTGTCTATGTTCATCAAAGATATCGGCTTATAGTTTTGTGTGTGTGTGTGTGTGTGTGTGCGCGCACACACACAAGTGCTTGTTTTAATGTCCTTATCTAGTTTTGGTATCAAGGTAATGCTGGTAGTGTAGAATGTGTTTGGAAAATTTACTTTCTCTTAAATTACATGAAATTTAACTCAAGAAGAATTGGTCTTCCTTAGTTCTTTAAATGTTTGGTAGAACACAGCAATGAAGCCATCTGGTTCTGGATTTTTCATTGCTAGCAGACTTTTTATTACTCATTAAATCTTGTTAGTTGTTATTGGTCTGTTAAGGTTTCCACCTTGGTAAGATGTAGGTGTCTAGGAATTTGTCCATTTCTTCTAGATTATTCAATTTGTTGTCCTATAGTTGTTCATAATAATCTCTGATTCTATTTCTGTGATATTAGTTATAATGTATCCCTTTTTATCTACAGTGTCATTTATTTGAATCTTCCCTCTCTTTTTTAGTCTGGGTAAAGGTTTGTCTATTTTGTTTATCTTTTTTAAGAACCAGCCACTTGTTTCATTTATTTTTTGTATTGCTTCTTTAAATTTCATTTCATTTATTTCTGCTTTGATCTTTATTTTTTTCTTCTGTTAATTTTGGATTTTGTTGTGTTTTTTTTTCAGTTCTTTGAGGCATATCAATAGGTTGCTTTTTATCTCATTTTATTATAAATATTAACTCCTATTAATTATACAAGTCACTGTGTTTCACTGAGACACTTCCATGCATGCATATACCATTCTTTAATCATATATACCCTCTCTACTTCCCTCTCTTGCCCTCCCCTTTCTATTTCCTCCTCCAGTTCCTTTCTCCTTCCCTAATAGTTCCTCTCTACATTCAGATCATCTTTATTTTTTTTATTTTTCAGTTTCCACATATAAGAAATAGAACACATGATACTTGTCTCCATGTCTGGCTTGCTTAGCAAAATGACCTCTAGATCCATTTATTTCCTTGCAAATGACATGCATCCACCTCAAAAGACCAAGAATGGCTATGGTAAAATAAACAAAAACAACAAATGCTAATGAGGATGTAGAGAAGAGGAAACCTTTATACACTATTGGTGGGAATGTAAACTAATACAGCCACTATGGAGAACAGTACTGAGTTCCCTCAAAAATCTAAAAGAGATAGATGCCTACATAACCATATTGTGGCACTATTCACAAAAGCCAAGTTATGAAATCAGCCTGGATATCCATCAACATGTGAATATATAAGGAAAACATGACATATCAATGACATATATGCACTAGAATTCTATTCCACAATCAAGAAGAATGAAATAGGTTATTTATTTGCAATGTTGGCACTGAGTGCTGAAATAAACTTCCCTGTTAGTACTGCTTTTGCCATATTCCACAGGTTTTGATGTCTGATATGTCTACATTTTCATTCATTTCAAGAACTTTTTAAGTTATTTCATGATTTCTTTTTCTTAATCTATTTGTTGTTCAAATATAAGTTGTTTAATTCTCATGTATTATATAGTTTCCAAAGTTTTTCTTGTTTTTGATTTCTAGTTTTATTGCATTGTAGTTGAAAAAGATTCTTGATGTGATTTTATTTTTTTTTAATTTGTAGAGAATTCTTTTGTACCCTGTATGCTGGATAATATTGCATGTCCTGATGAGAAAAAAAACAACGTGTATTTGGCAGATGTTAAATGGAATATCCTGTAGATGTCTGTTAGATCCATTTGGTCTAGAGTTCAATTCAACTCTGCTATTTCTTTGTTGATTTCCTGTCTAGATGACATGTCCACTGCTGAAAGTGGGATATTAAAGTTCCACCTATTATTGTCCTGTATTTTGTCTCTCCTTTAGTCTACAAATGTTTGTTTCATATATTTGGATGCACCAACATTGGGTGCATATATATTTAGAATTGTTATTTCCTCTTTCTGAATTGACCCCTTTATAATTATATACTAACTTTCCTTGCCTCTCTTTAATGCTTTTGATTTAATGTCTATTCTTCCTCTGATATGACTACTCTTACTTTTTTTGGATCCCATTTGCATGGAATGTCTTATTCAGTCCCTTTACTCTTGGTCTTTGTGTATCTTTAGAGGTGAAGTGAGTTTCTTGAAAACAATGTATATTGGGTTTTGATTTTATTTTCATCCAGTCACTATGTCTTTTAATTGGAGAATTTAATCCACTCATATTCAAAGTAGTTATTGATAGATAAACTCTTATTACAGCCATTATGTAACTTGTTTTCTAGTTTTGTTGCAATTCCTTTCTTCTCCCTTACCTTCTACCATTTGTGGTTAAGTGATTTACTCCAGTAGTGTGTTTTGGTTTCTTGCTTGTTATTTAGGGTCTGTCTACTATGAACTTTTTCTTTGTGTTTACCATCAGGCTTATCAAAAATATCTTTTGATTATAATAAGCTGTTTTTAAATTATTATAGTAAATAAACATGATCATATGGTAAGAACAGAAACAAACAGAATGAAAGAAAATATAATAATAAAACTCTCTATTTGTTTTCCATTGATCCTCATATTTCGAGCTTTTCATATCCCATTTTATATCTTCCTGTATTGTCCCTTTTTAATAATGGTGTAATTGTTACTTAAAGTTTTTATTTTTTAGTCTTCATACCAAAGACATGAATGGTTTATGCACCATTCTTTTGATATTGAAGCATCCTGAATTTTTTCTGTATAATTAATCTTCCAGCTTTGTACCTGCCCAAAATTGGGGTGGTGTTGGTGGAGATAGTCCCTTGCCACCTAGGCTGATGCTAACTAAGCAGGGGCACACCTGTGTCTCATACCGACACAGCTGGGAGTGAGGCAGGCTGAAACACAAGTCCATCCCACTGGGATAAAGGTCTCTGCCTGACACAGAGTATTTTTTAGAGCCCCACAGGCAAGCACTAGCCTTGTGATAAGTATGCTGCCCAAGCATGGGGAATTGGTGATAGAGACAATTCCTTGTCACCCAAACTGAACACATGCTGGGTCACTCCTGAATCATACAGCCACACCGACCTGTACAATCTCAGGAAACAGAGGGTGTGTCCCACACTCACTAAAAGCCTGGAAAATGATGCAAGCTGAAGCTCATGTCTGTCCCATCAGCACACAGGTCTCACCCAATGGTGGGGCTGAACTGGAGACTTAGGCTGTGAGCTCTGGGTACCAGTTTTACAGTTTCTATGGGTGCTGGTCTCGCTGAGGGAGCCCTGATGCTGAGCTCTAGGTGCTACCTTTGAAGTACTGCCCTCTAGTGGGTGAGGTTTTGCTCCCTACTCTGCTACAGTGAGCAACCTGGTTAAAAAATAGTTCTAGTGGCTGCTTAGCAAGGAGAGAATCAGCCCAGCACAGGGTTTCACCATGGCGGGCTTGGCACTTGCTTTTCTCCCCAGCTTAAAGGGGTGATGCTTAAAGGTGTTGGTCTGCTGAAACAAATGATGTGGACAACTCTTTTTGGCTTCTTCAATGTCTTTTCATTACACTGAACTAAAGCCAGGCACTGTAGTCTCTCACCTTATTTCCTGGGCTCTTTTGAAGGTAGTTTGAAACATGATTAGCTGTTCCACTTGGTTTGGAGCTGGGAAGACGATCAAGGAAGCACCCCTCTCTGCCCCAGCTCCTAAAAAGAGAAAGGTAAAGTAACGGTATTCAGAAAGGTGCTTTTGCTGTCAGACTCACAGGCTTTTTTTAGAACAATTATTTTCAACAAACATCTGAGGGTAATCGAGTCCATTTGTTTTACTTGTTTTGACATCTGCAGATAATGACGAGCTAGAGGGAAAGACAGGTTTAAGGATTATAGCAATTAGTTAATTTGTGACTGATTATTAAAAAATAATAAATGCACACTCTGTGCTTCTCCAGAGGCCACAGTTACAAATTATATAGTTGTTTCCCACTGCTGATGTTTTGTTGTTTTTAAAGGATTGCAGGCTCCATATGTTGGTGAATATTAACATTGTTTGAGGTGTCTCAGGTTGCCATAGCCACCTCAGCTCCTTCTGCCTGCGGGACGTGATGCACTACAGTCAGAATTGAAGGAGTCCACACAGGGACAAGCCACCAGGGAAGATGTTCAACCTGGAAACACCCTCTTCCATTTGGACAATTCTCAGCCTCATCTGTTTTGATACATTGATCAAAATGTGCATGCTGCCAGCCCACCATCCCCCTCACACTTGTGTTCAGCCCAACACAATTGTGCCCACCCATCTCCACACCCCTAGCAGTCCTTCCATGCGCCTTTGAACCCTTGCAGCCACAACCTGAAGCTCCCCTTGGAAACGCTTCTTCTACCCTCCCAAACCGAAGCCTGTGAATCCTGGGTTTTCCATGATCATAATAATACTAAACTCAGATGTATACAGAGCCTGGGGATGTGACTTTTTTTTTTCCTAACCCATCCTTTAACCCATTATGCTAATAACCTAGGAATTAGGAATAGGTCAGTATGAGCCTCAATTTTTCTCCTTCTGCTGTTTCATTGTTTTCGTTCAGAGATACCTCTTTTTAAATTTCTCCATCCTTTTCTGGTCTCCCTTTTGGTCTTTTAATGTCCCTGTCCCCATCCCCACTATGCTTGTCAAGCTTTCTTATTCATCCTTTCTTCTTTCATCCTCTTGAAGAACTATACATGATGAGGCCCCAGCCCCAGGTACTTCATTTCCTCTGCTCCAAAACTGCTCCTTCTGTTAGATCTTCTGTTGATTCAAATTCTGCCTGCTGGTCTCCATTGATGTTTCCACCATTGTGATAAGCTTTCTATCATTGGACTGACATTCTCCTCTCCCCAAAGCATGTAAAGTTATAAGATGTGGTAGTTAGGAATGTGTCCCTGGGTGAAACTACAGACATAAATGCATGGCTTTACCACTTACTGGTACTGCAGTCCAGGTTATCTAACCTTTCTAGGTCTGTCTCTTCCTCTCTAAAATGGTGACAGTAATGCCACCTACATCACAGAGTTGTAATGGAGTTCGAAAGAGATGATCCCTAAGTATAATTTAAAGTGGTTGAAGAGACAACCTGACTCAGACTAGCATACAAAACAAAAGCTTATGATTGTATCATTTATCTTGAAGTCAAGAAGTAAAGTAGTCTTCAAGCTAGGTTAGATTCAGAGGATCAGCCACACTATCAAAGACCTGGTTTTTGGGTTGGGGCTGTAGCTCAATAGTAGAGCATTCACCTAGCATGTGAATGGATTTGATCCTCAGCACTATGTATAAATAAAGAAATCAAAGGTATTGTGTTAGTCTACAACTAAAAACAAACAAACAAATGAACAAAAAGACCTGGTTTCTTTTCTTCTTTCTCTGTTCTGCCTTCTAAGATTATCATATTCATTCTAGGGTTGGCTGTCCATCATAGTTACAAAAGGCTTTGAATAGGCTATTGGTTTTCTTATTTGAAACAAAGGAATAAATGAAATGATCCTTTCAAGAAGTTCTCCCAGAGTAGTGAAGGAGAACTCTTCCAAATATTCAGAAAATCTCTCACTGCTTGTTATGCAGATATGACTAGCCATTGCCTGGGACAGAGAGAGGGGTTCCATGTGCTAATTGGCTCAAACCTGCTCAAATAGCCTAAACAACAGGGAAGGAGATTGCAAATCCTAGAAAATATCATCCTAGAAACTGCACAATAAGTATAAAATGGGAAGAATGGGGGCAGATATTGGAGATGGCATCACATCTGCAATGAAAAGGCATCCTTAGCTAAGGATGAACAATTAGTAAAATCAATATTTAAATTAGCAATTGTTAATATGTCATTTTCATCTTTGATGACTATTTCTCATTCTTCTTTCTACTATAATTTATTGTTTAATAAATGCCTCTCCATACTCTCCTATCCTCAAATTGTAAAATTCTTAAGGCTATGTGCTTCACTGATCCTCTTACCACTAACACACACTAACACAAACTTTATATCACTAGTGTACCCATCCCATACCCTACCTAAGAGCATATACAGACTATAAAGTGTTTCTACCCAGCATCAAAGTCTCTCTGGCAAGATTTAGATATTACTTATTGTTCTTATGCCCATTAGTATAGAACAACATAATGCATTTTTAAAATATTCTTCTTTATACAAAATAATGTTACTGATCCACTATTGAATATGCAGGCACAGAGTATGCCTTTGTACTTTCTAACTGATTGATAAAACTATATCCTTTACCACAATTACATCCAATTAATTCTTTTTTAGTTTTTTACACAATAATTTTTGCAGTAAATTATATTGTTTGACCAGACTAGAATATCCTGAGAAACATGTTTTGTTTTAATCAGTGAAGCCTCATAATAAAAGCTAAGAAATCTTCAAGTCAGTACATTTTAACTAAGATCAATAGCTCTCAAAATACCAAATTATCAGGAAAAACTTCAATATTATGCAGTGTAAATTTATGAAATATTTACATAAGAAAGGACTTCTACATTAAGATTAATCTTTTTTATAGAGAGAGAGAGAGAGAGAATTTTTTAATATTTATTTTTTAGTTTTCAGCGGACACAACATCTTTGTTTGTATGTGGTGCTGAGGATAAAACCCCGGCCGCACGCATGCCAGGTGAGCGCGCTACCACTTGAGCCACATCCCCAGCCCCAAGATTAATCTTCAAAATGTTGTTTCCCTTAAATTTTTTTCATCAATTTTATGCTGACCTACAAAGACATATGACTTATTCTGTCCTATTTTTAGTGAACATTATTTTTAAACAAATTAAGTTTAATACTTTTAAAGCATAGGTGATATTATCAAGTTCACAATAATGAAACTAGCCATTTTATAGCAGCAATTTTTAGAAATATGTGGTAAATGGCTCTCTGATTTTCTTAAAAATTTCTTATGTATTTCTTTTAAAGCCTACTGTATTCCAGAATTTTATTACCTGAAAATTATCTCACTTCTTAAATACATTTTAGAAATGTCTTTGAGAGAAGAAAAATGTGTGGGAGACTATAAGACACAATGGTGAGCTCAGAGTATAGTAAGAGAACAAGGTAGATTCTCTGAATTTAACAGAAAGGCCACGGCAATGCAAAACATTTTCTTCTTGTCTGCAAAGACCATGCAGTGAATTTTAATAGTAAAACCTGATGAAAGAAGTGTTTGGAGAATATAAACTAGTCAGATCATTTTAACTTCATGGAAAATAAATTTTAAAACCATGTAATAGCACATGCACCCAATCCAGGCAACACTACATATATAAAGTTATGTCATACATTACACCTCTAGTAATCTACATGCATAACCAGTCACATTTTTATTTCACATGCCTCTCAAAATTGCCACTTGGGTTTATTTCTGGCTGCAAGCTTTTCACCAACCAATACAAAGTAAAACCTCAGAAAATAATGAAACATCATAAAAAATAGCTAACACAATGGACAGTAGTATATCCCCACAGAATTTGATGCCTAGTCTGACTCAGTGAAGTAGATATTGTTACCTGAGGCCAACATTTTAAATAATTTTTCTCTATACTTCTGAGTATTGGGGACCAGGTCCCAAAGCCCTTGATGGCATTGTGAGGTGAGATCTAACCAATAAATCTTTTTCCCAGGGCAAAATCCTGCAGAAAGAGTGGGCACAACTGATCTCAGACAGCCAACTAAACAGCCAACAGGCTGTGAAATATAAGTTTTTCTATTACCTCTGTTGAATTTGGGTGCTGAGTCAGTCAGGTAAAGGTTTTGATTCTTCCTTAATAAACAGCCTGCCTGCTTGATGGAACAGCCCAAGTTCACTTAAGCCAATTCACACTGTAGTCTCCATTATGGTTCTATGGCAAGCCTAAATATAAAAACAGGGATGCATCCAGTACAATGGAAAGATCTCTCTCAATAATTGTATAAAGCCACCTAGTCCCAGGAGATACATATGGAAAGTGAACTTCAGAAGAGATGATCAAGAGCATTCATCCAAGAAAAACAAATTAAGACAAAAAATAGATGCTACATTTACCAAAAAAAAAAAAATTAAAACATGAGCATTTTTTTTTTGAGGGACAAGGAAAATTTCTCATTTGTGGCAGGGCAAATTGATGCACTGTTGTGGTATCTAAATTTTAAACATGCATGCTTTCTGAAATAGTAATCCAATTTCTATAAATATATCCCTAGCTACGTATTCAAGGACACACACCAAAGATATTACAACATTGAATAAGAAGGTAGAAAAATTAATTATAATAATTCCTTGCTATAGGGTGCCATGAAGCCTTTAGAAAAAATGAGGCAAATCTGTATATATTGATGTGGGAAATACCTCAAGTATATTGCAAAGTGAAAAGAAAAAGCAGTTTGAATGACAATATAATATGATATCCATTTGTGTGCTATGATTTTCATTTGTGAAAAAGTCCATAGACATGTATTCTTTGCATGCATAAAAATTTCCCGAAGTGCTCACAGATTATTTGTTGTCTGAGGAGAGGTATGCTAAAGAGGTTGGGCTGAGGGCCAGGCCAATGAGGGATGCTGCAAGACCTTAAATTTCTACATTAGCATTTCTTTCTTAATCAAAAACTCTTACCTTGAGAAGGAACAAAAATTCTCTCTTCTCCCTTACCTTACTTTCATGAGAGTTAAAATGAAAAGGAAG